AAAAAAAAAAAAAGCTGGCCCTACCCCATCGCCTTTCTCAACATCCCACTGTAACTTCAAGCTCCAGTAAAGCTAAACAGTCATATCTGAATTTAAAGCCTTAATAGAGAAAATCCCTTTGTAAGTTACTACGATCAAGACATGTGCCCATTCTCTCTAGAAAGGTGTCTTAAATAAACGGTGTTCAGTGCCAGCTGCTAGGCACACAAATACTTAGAGAGATGAGGTGCTCAATATACATCAGTAAACACACATTTATAAACCACCTCTGTGACAAGTCCGCCCAGAGTCGTTTTAAAGTCTGGGTAACCTATCTCATCTCACCGCCTCCCAAACGGGAAGGGGTCTGTGTCTTCCTGTTTTCTCGGTTTATACCAAAGTCCCTCTCACATCCAAGGCACACAAATGTCAGCTAGCTGTCAGACCCCGCCAGGGTGCTGCTGCACCAGGGGCAAGAGTTCACCACCCAGCTGTCCCACCTGCCGGAGGCCAGGCCTTGATGTAGCCTGTGCAGTGCACCACCACGAAGTGAGGTTCCCCGTCCTTCACAGAGCCGAGTCCATTTCTAGAAGAATCACAGGTGTGAGGAGAAAAACCATACCCAGTAACAGTGACAACGCAATGCTGGTCTCCTATCTTTATCTCTAGACTCTTGGATGCCAAGGAAAGAGGATAACTGGTGCCTGGGCCTTTCCCCCCCAAAAGCAGCCACCGTATTTTTGAGCCTTGCCAAAGCGGAACAAACGGAAAGCAGTCAGCAGAGCGAGTTGGCAACGTGCAGGTAAAGAAAGCAGGGTAACTTCTTTACGCAGGATGAGCAGAAGAAGCTTCCGAAGTCCAGGAGACAAAAGTAGCCAGCGTAAAGGGTGGGGGAGCACCCAGCGAGCCTGATGAGAGGCGGCCTCGGCCGGCACCGGGCCTCCCTTCGCTGCTTCGCTGCCGAGGCTCTCACCTGCATCTGTTCCTCACGAAGCTCAGTCTGTTCATGGAGACTGGGTCCACAGAATTACCGCCGCACCTGTTTCAACGAACACAGAGATTAAAAGCAATTAAGCTACAGCATCAGAGAACTTTCCACCCACTAATAGCCAGATAATAGGCTCTGGAACAACGGAAATCTGCTGACAACATTCCTAACAAAGGATAAGAAGTTACATTCAGTTTTCCTAAAACGCAGAATTAGAAGTCGAGATGTTCCATCTGCTTTTCAAGTACAGAGATTCCCCACGCAGGGCCAGCAAGCAGGCCCTGTCCGAGAGCCGCAGACTGGGCCACGCGACTGCCGCCAGCGGCTAACCCTGCAAGGGCGGCAAGCGAGCAGCCTCGGCGCTCTGGGGACAGCGGCACAGCTGGCCCCATCAGGCCAGAGACACGCTGAGGCCCCAGCGCTGCCCAGCCCCGCGGACTCGCGAGCCTCACCACCAGCTGCGCCCAGACCTGCTGCTCCCTCCCGGCCGCGCAGCTGCTCTCTGGTCTTTGCAAGGACAGATGAACAGGGCAGCTGCTGGGCGCTGCGCCTGCCCAGAGGTGCGCTGCACTCACCCTCCCAGCCCTCAAGACGACCGAGAGCTGCAACCCCCAGCACCAGATGGCGACCAGACCACAGAGGCGTCCCTCGGTGTGCCCGCGCGGTCTCAGAGCGCACACCGCAAACCCCGCCGCCTGGGTCCTGAGGCTGCTCCGCCACACGAGCCCACACGCCCGAGTCTGCTATTCTCCCAGGGGACCTCTACCAGCGCCTGCTTGTCGGCTCTCGGAAGCACCCTCGCAGCAAGTGCAGCAGTTTCAACCACCGATCTCACTGGGCCGTCAGGACACCATTTTTCTGCTTTTTAAGCAAAATTGCATCATGACTTTTCCAACGACCCAGTAATTACATGACTTTAAAATGTGTCTTTTCTACCTGTGTAGAAGTGCCACGGTCCTGCCTGTAGAATCCTAAAATGTACAATACATACTGGCAAACACTGAATATGGGCTGAAAAAACATAGTCTCACACTTCTACCCCCAAAATGCAGAAATGGTCAGAATACGCGGAGGTGGCCTCATGACGAACTGGGAGAGAGTAAAGGTTTGGAATCTGGTTTGGATTAAACTAAACTCCTGTTTCAGACGTTACCTATGTCCGGGAAGTGCATGTCTTTGAAAAGAAAGAGCGCTGTGAACGCTTCCCTGGCAGGGCAGGTGGGAACCGCATCGACACACACGCAGGCCCGACCAGCAGCGCTCCCTCGTCACACGTGAGTCAGGGTGATGGCTCGTGGGGGACTTAAGAGTTAACGTTTACCAGAGCCTGACCTAAGTCTAACTCAGACCTTCAGCTCTCGAGTCTTCTGTCAGTCGCTCACCTCATCCGGCAGATAAAGGACCTCCGGGAGCCCATGCACACCCTCATGGACGGCTGCCCCTCCTTCTTCACAGTTCCGGTCTTCAGGTCGAGGATGCGCCCTGGAAAGGGTGGGAGAGCTGGAGTGTGGTGCTGTGTCTGGGCAGCGGGGCAGAGCTACTGGAGGCGAAGAAAACACTCATGCTCTGTCTCTCTGCTCGTAATGGAACAGGCTAAGGAGACAGATTTTTTCAAGTTCTCAAATAACTGAATTCCCTTCCACAACTCTATCCCTGAACAGCCCTGCACAGGAAGGCAGGGCGGGGGGCCGCCCTGGCAGGCAGACAGTGCCGCGCCCAGGCCAACAGCTGGCTCCCGCAGCGCACCGCGCCGCCGGCTCAGAAGTAGCTGTCTGTGCTCGGGAAGCCAGATGTGCGACTCAAGCCAAGACCGCCCCTCCACTGTACTATGTAGGAAACAACGGCGACTTCTGGAAAAAAGAACTAGAAGATGGAATCTCTGAAAACACAAAGGAGGGGAAAACTAAATACCAACATTACCAAGACCATGTGAACTTCCTTGCATTTTAATTAGCAGTTTTTCTCTGCTTCCGCTTGTTTCCTTTAGCCAAACTCTGGCAAAGGACTGAACAGCACTGAAATGGGGATGGGCATGGGCAGGGGGAGAGAAAAAGAAGGAGAAAAGACAGATACCAAAACCTTATACACTGAGAGCCACTCCTCTCTTAGTAAGGATCTATGATGGCCTAGTACAAAGCCAGAGGTAAGCACAGCAGGTGGAAAAAAGACTAGGTAATTATCCATACAAATGAGAAAGGGTCTGGAGAATGGAAAAAAATGTTCAAGGTAGGTTTGGCTTTTACTTTTATATATATAACAGTTTATTTTTACATCATTTTGTACATTTTTTTTCTTCCATCTCAATTGTAGTCCCCGCGGGTTTCCCATCACCAAATCACCCATGTGCCATCACCATAGTCCCGTTCATTTTCCCTCCCCCCCCCGTTTTTGATCCCAATCCCCACTCCATCCCCACCAAATGTCTCTGGTATAGGGCTGTTCATTATTCTTGTTATTTTCTTGCCCGGTCCATTATACTCCTGCTAGGAGTGAAACCATCCGGTATTTTTCTTTCTCTTTCTGGCTTATCTCACTAAGCATGATTTTTTTCCAGCTCCACCCAAGTTGCTGCAAAAACATGTGTTTCTCTTTTTTGGTTGCTGAGTAATATTCTTTTGTACACATGTACCACATCTTTTTTATCCAGTCGTCTACTTTTGGGCATTTGGGCTGCTTCCATATTTTTCCAATTGTAAATAAAGCAGCAATAAACATGGGGGTGCAGGTATCTTTCTGAATCAGTGTTTTTGTGTCTTTTGGGTAGATAACTAGGAGTGGGATGGCTGGGTCGTAGGGAAGCTCCATGTTGAGCAGTTTGTGGAACCTCCAAACAGTTTGGCTTTTACTTTTTATAGAGGTGAAGATAAAAGTAAGCTTTTATGTGGGTACTGTCACCAATGAAACATTTCCTGAGGATGAGCTGTAAGTACATCATCTGCTTGCAGATAAAAAGAACTAATTACATTCATTAAAGGAGAAAATTCTAGAAGCACTGTGCGAGTCAATGAAGCAATTTAAGAGCTAAAACAGCTCATCCACCTCAGGGGGAAAGAAACAAAAGGGAAAACACTTCCTATTTATTCCCTACCCACTTACTTCATACCTGTCAGCGCATTCTCTGAAGTAGAAAGCTGCTCACGGAGCTTGTCCACGTCATCTGGGTGCGCCTGGTCATAGAGTGTACTGCCGAACCACTCAGACTGTGGTTGGTTCAAAACAGGGGTCACTGAGTCAGAGACGTAGACCACCCGGCCTGTCTCGCATGAGACAATGAACAGAAAGCCATCTGCTGCCTCCAAGATCAAATGTTTCAGTTCCTGGCCAGGAAAAAAGTGAACGTTAATACTGAATTCTGGAAAACCAAGTACCATCATTCATGAAAGTATGACGTTTCAAACCATGAGTACCTCTTCATGAGCACCTGCTGGCTCCTGCTGGTCCACAGGCTTGACATCTAGACATAATTAACGTCACTGCCAAGGCAACTCACTCCAATAAAGACTAATCGGTGTCTGTGTCTAGCCACCCACTCCTCTTAATCTCAGAACTCAAAACAGGGACGAAAAAGGCTTCTACGAACTCCCTCAGGTCTCTCTTAAGGAGCGTGCTGTAAAACACTAACATTTCCCTCCTTCTCCTCAGATCTATAAACATGACTAAGTTCTCCTCTTCCCTGACTTTACTCACACTTCAGTGCCAAGTGTATACGAAGAGTAGCTCCCAGTCACGGATGCTGACTTTCCTTTCTCTCTCAATCCCTTGCAATCTTCACTCTAGCCCACTGTGCTCACTCTCGAACAGGAACACCATGTTAACGTTGATCCTCTCATTAACATTAATTAAACTGGCAGAACGTTAGCGTTACTAACGTCCTCCTAACTACCATTTTAAGCCCCTTTGCTGGGTCCCTGTCATCTTACTCACCCCCGCAACCAAATACGACAATGTTGTCCTATCCGTCAAATTTTATTTTCCCCTAGCTCCAGTGACACCTCACCAACTTCTGCTTCCTTTTTAAATGTCCCTTCTATGCTTCAGGTTCCCTTTGTTCAAGTGTGAAGTGTAAGCATCTCTAGTCTTCTATCTTAACTTGTCGAGCTATGCCACACTCATTTTTCTGTTCTGTTCTGTCTACCACACTCTCTTATAAACATGATCCGCGCCACCCTCTATGGAATAACCCCCCTCTCTACATCCCTATTCCTGCTTAATTTTTTCCCTTGGGTTTTAAGCAGAAGGGAGTTATAAGTTATCTATTAAACATTTTCAAGTAGGCAATCTACCAGCAATTCAATTTCAACTTTTCAAGGGCTGTCATTTCCCCCTCCGAAAAATGACCCTCTGCACTTTCTAGCACTCCCTTTCTTAAAATTTATTAGCTTCCTATCAGGCCATGAGTTTCAAAATCTAAACTACTGTCTTTCATACTTCAGTGACAACTCAGTGTTACCTAACTTCCAAGTTATCTAACTTCCAACACTATGTTGGAACCTTGCTGTTACCATCTTCCAAGGCATGCTAAGAGCTACTTGATTTGTCTTGAACCATTCAATCATTCTAAGATGTTGCTCATATTCACACTCCTCCGCTAGTCCTTGCTTCCATATTTGCCCCTCCACAGGAATGATCGCTGCAGCTCTATTAGACAGCTGATTCTGTAAATACGTTACGATCTATTTACGTCTGCTGTTACCAGCGATCATCTCTCACCAGTCTTGTTATTTTGCACAGTATAAAGGGCCTGGTAAAGCCACACTGACGGGAATGTGTTGACTCATTACCTGCATGAATACTGTTAGAACAGACTGGCTAATTGCCCCAGGGTATACATTATAAACCCTGTGCTGGGCGAGTTTTCATACAGACTACCCCCCTCGACAATTCTTATTTCTTACAAACCAAGCCAAATTCTTGTTTTCCTGCTCACCCACTGAATGAAAAGGGTGGCATTACAGGTTGGTTATTTTCCTCCTTATATTTCTTGTATTTTCTTCAATAAGCGTGCTATTTTTAATAATTAAAATAGAATATGGAGGCCCTCCTTGGTGGTGCAGTGGGTTAAAGCACAACACTAAGAAACTAAAAGCCATGCAGCACGAGTTCGATCCCCATCCCGGAGGTAACCCATAGGGCGTGGCAGACCTCTCCAGACCTCTCCGCCCGCAGCTCCCCTCAGCAGTGTACTTGTCAGTCAGCCTATTCTGTTCCCCACTCTGCCTCTGGTGAAGCCTCTCACCACCCATGCTCCTCTGGCCTGTACCCCAGCTCTGTATATACAAATAAATAAATAAATCTTTCCAAAAAAAAAAAAAAGAATATGGCTTCCTTCCTCCTAGAAGTCTTTGCTAAAAATCTTCACTCAGTGAGGCTTCTGAGGCTGGGGGGAGAGAGGGATAAAAAAAAAAGGGGGTAAGGGATGGTGGTGGGGGAAAAAATGTAAAAGCAAATAATCCTCACTCAGTAGTCAGGCCAGTCTCAACCTGCACTCCTCCCTCACGCTTCAAGTCCGGTACATGGGAAGTGGACTGCTGCCATCCTTTCCCATGGTGCCCACCTCTGGGCAACGGGAGTGGTGGGAGGCTCCTCTCGGCACAGGGCTGGAGACTGCCTCAGGACGAAGGGCATGGTCATCTCCTCTCCCTGGGGTCCCACTGCTCACTCTTTCCCTGCGTGAGTTTCTAAAACACCTGTCAAGGTTGTAAAGTACGTCTCACAAGTCACTTGTACCTTTCACTGTTCCAGTGCTAACAATGTGACAGTCAGGGACCAAAACTCACTTTCCCAAGGTCTGAATTTTTCCGTAAGAGCAGAGAGTTGTCTTTAAGCAGTTTACCGAGTCAGCTCTACTGCGTTTCCCAGTGTACTGCGCGTGTTCACAACTACGAGCGTCTACCCCAGAAGACCAAAGTTCCCAGCAAATTCTAGACGGTATCTGACAGAGACCTGATCGGTGAGGAAAGACGGCTTGTAGGCGCCGTCCGTGGGCGTGTTCCCGGTCCCCCGCAGGGACTTCATGTGAGAAACCGCCATGCGCAAGATGGTGAGCTTGTCCGGCTTCCGCGCCAGGGCGCTGCAGGTGGGCACCATGTCTGACAGCTCTGTGATGTAGGCTGTCATCTTGTTCCGTCGGCGCCGCTCAATTTCACTGTGATTTTCCCTGCAGCGAAAGAGAGAAGCCCCGCCCAGACAGGTGGGCACATCTTGCCACGGGAGCAGGGAGACTCACAGAGGCGCCAGCTGAGCTGCTGAAGAAATGTGGAACTTAGACTTGGTGTCCAGAGCTGAGAATCAGGTTTGCAGCCTTCTCATGCAGAGCAAGCATGGGAGAGAAACTAGTAAGCTGGAGAACAAGTAGATACCAGCAAATTCCCTCTTTCCTGGAATTTTCTTCCAAAGTAAACTAGCACTTCCTCAGAACACAACATGTTTTAGGAAATGAGTCTTAAAAAATAATGATTTAATTGACTTATGTTCCTGAGAGACAGATAACGCCAGACTGGCTGACTCCATTTTTACTTCGGCTTTTTAAAGGCTGAAACAAAATGACCGATGTCCATCACGAGGACGATGCACAGGCAGCTGCGGGGGCTGGCGGAGCCAGCGCTGCGCCTGCAGAGCGTCGGCCCCCAGCGTCCCTTCCTCACTTGGGGTGTTGGGGTTTTACTTGTCCCACTAGCGCACAAAGGCCCACCGTCTCTCCTGGGTGCGGTGCCAGGCCACCGGGCTCAGAGAAGGTGAGACGCCAACTGCCGGGGTGTCTTATGGACCCCAGCTTGAGACAAAGTGGTTCAGAGAGCAGAAGCAGAGTAGACAGCAAGATGCGTAAGCGCCTGAAAGGAAACCTGGGTGCCCCCAGCTCCCCCGCCAGTGCTGACTCCCTCAAAATCCCCCTTACGGGCAGTGACCAAGCAGCGTTCAATCTGGGTGCCTGGAAGGCGCGGCAGCCCCCTGCCCTCCGGGGGTGCCTCCGAGGCCTGGCCAGCAGGGGCGCGCCTCCGCCACTCCTGGGCAGCTCGTCTGGCTGCTTTGCTCCGATTACCAAATGCTCTATTTGAACCAAAGTTCTCTGTGAAAACAACTGATCTGAGATAAACTCCTATTGTGTGACAAGAGCCACGAAGGTCAGGTAGTTAATAAGTGATGTTTCAAGGGCAGCCCTCTGGCACCGAGTGCCACACCCCCAGGCTGGCCAGTGTTCCGAGGCGGCAGCACAGGGAAGCAGCAGGGTGAGCAAGTGGTCGGCGACGCTGGGGAGGGAGGACGTGGACACATGCGGTCAGCTCGCCCACGGCGCGGCCCCTGCCAGAGACCAGGGAAAGGAAAAGGAGCGTCTCTTCTACATCATTAACAACAGTTTCCTTTTCCGTTGACCAGAATGTATCAGCACATCGGTCCACTTTTGGCTACCCGGACGGAAAAACATGAAATTTTGCTCTCAAACTGAAAGCGCCCCTCTTCCCAGTGTCAGACTTCTGACTCGTAGCACCAGGACTGATCTATCAGCCTCCAAAAGCTGCTACAATTTTCCCAGAAAAGCACAGGGAGTCACTCCCCGTGCACCATCAGGACAGCCGTGACCAGAAGCCCAGGCTGAGTGCACACAGGAGCGCAGGCAGCGTGGACGGCAGCCAGGGCCAGCGCAGTCGCAAACGCAGACACGTTTAGTAGTTTTCTGTTAAGAGTATTCACCTACTTAGAAGCGCCAGCGGGTACAGCTGCATTATTGATAAAGCTTTTTATTCTGTGACACTTAGTGCCGAGATAAGGAGGAAAAAAGAAAACTATAAAACTCAGAGCAATTTCTTAAATTCTTAAGTAAAGTTCCCTCAACACATCCACTTTCTGATGGGGGAGGACAAAGTTCCTGTTTCATACAAATTTCTAAAAAATGCTGTCTTCCCTTACTTGGCACAGCTAAGGAAAAACACAAAGAGAAGGGAGAAGAAAAAAACAGGCGAGAAAAAGGATGGAAAAGCAGCGGCACCTGCGTCACCATGCTAAAGACACTGTTGTCCTACCTGGCGAGTCTCTCTTTATCCGCAGAGCTCTGCTCATCATCCGACCTAAAAATAAAATCAGTGAACTAAGCCAAAATTAAAATAAAAAGGGAAAGAAAGGGCGGGAAGGGCGCAGAGCAGCGAGGAGGGCACGGCAGGGCGGCAGGGCCTGCCGGTGAGGCGCAGTCACCTGCAGGGCAGAGGCAACACCAGTCACTATTCTGTGCGGTTAAAGGAGCTGAATGCAGAAAGCATCTGCCAGCCGGCCTCTGTGGGTGGGGACAGTCTGAGCAGGCGCGCCAGGGCTACCATTCCCCACACTACTTCCCATCTGGAAAGAAAATGACAGCCACGGGTGCTTTTCGGTAAGGAAGAAACCAGAGCACGTCACAATAAGAATGCCAAACAAGGGCCTCCCTGGTGGCACAGCGGGTCAAAGCGCGGCACTATGAAGCGCTCTGCGGCCGCTGCAGCACGAGTTCCATTCCCGGCCAGGGAGGGACCCCCAGGGCGCAGCAGACTCTCCTGTCGCCCCGCTGTCTCTGGTGAAGCCTCTCAGCCCCTGCACCTCTGGCCTGTACCCCAGTTCTGTAAGCACAGTTAAATAAATCTTTTTAAGAAGTTGTTTAAAGAATGTCAAACAAGCGACCACAAACACAGCCTCTCTCCAGCACGCCTGCACACATGCTACCACACAGACAAGGCCCGGGCCTTCTAGGGAAAGTGAGCGCTGGCCGGCTGCCGTCACTCACTGCTCCCCAAGTGGTTAGTTTCCAGCAAGTCACTTTCCCATCTCTCTGCAACCAAGGCACAGCACTAGGAGCCTCCAACCCCACTGCCCGTCCCCTGGAGAGGGCTGCGCAGGGTCACCACTGTGTTTTTAGGAAACAGAGACTGTTAGAACAGGTGGCAACTGCAGAAATAACGGTGCTGACAGACCAGAATCAGTGATCAGTCCATTTTAGATACTTAGAAAGAAGCCTCAAAGACAATGTCTAAGAACGACATGCTACCTGGCTGAATGGCCAGTTAGCTCTTCAACATGACAAGTACAGTTAGGAATAGATGGGAAAATTTCTATAAAACTGTCAGCAGGAAAAAACAAAATAGCTCTTCCTGCATTTTCATGCATGCAGAGAAGAGAACTGAGCGAAATTCAACAGTTTAAAGTTTTGTGTTCTCTGGGTCCTGTAGTTCCTAAACAAAGTACAGACTAACTTTCTCCAAGTTGAGAAAATCCTTACATTTTCGGTTTTTGAAGCGCCTCTCCCTAAACTCCCAAGGAGGCTGTGCGGCAGCCCAGCCTAACAAAGCGTGTCTTACAGGGCAGAGATCTCTTACGGAGAGAAATGTGCACACCTAGAACCCAGGGCCACCGCTCCGACCAGACGCGCCATCCCCTAGCCACCGGTGCCTCTGAGCGAACTGCGCGGCTGCACACACATCATGTTATGCCGGGAACGTGAAAGCCAACACAGTGCAGGGCACATTTTCACAGCCTTCGGAACCACGGCCAAGAGACTGAACCCCACCGTCCCCGCTGGATGGTGGACTGGACGCCACACTTCCTGATGCCACCTGAAATGCCCCCCAAGAAGGGGTGACTCACACCCTAGAGTTCGCAGACATGCACTCTGGTAGACAAGCCCTTCGAAGACCCTGGAATTCAGTTCTCTCCTGTCGCCACGGCCACCACACTGGCCGACTCGCCATCTCGTGGCTCTTCCCGTCCCACCTCCGGCTGGGCGCGGTCTAGCAGCGCGCCCTGCTCGCCACATAGGCAGGTCAGAGGGGAACACCATCTTCTCTCACACGTCAGCCTCTCAGTTAAAGCCTCTGCTTGCATCGTGCTGCTTCAGAGTAGTTTTATACTATGCTGTCTGATATTCCTTAGCTGAAGTTAAAAACATACAATTTGTTGCTTAATTTATAGAATGAACTATCTAAAAAACAGTATCTGAGGGCTCTCCCTGGTGGCACAACGGGTTAAAGCACTGCTCTCCAAAGCCACTGCAGCACGAGTTGATCCCCATCCCGGAGGTGACCCATCGGGTGCGGCAGACCTCTCCTGACCGGCCCGCTGCTCTCCTCAGCAGAATACTTTGTCATTCTGCCTGTTTCTGGTGAATCCTCTCACCCACCGCATCTCTGGCCTGTGCGCTAGTTCTGTAAGCAAAACTAAGTAAATCTTTAAAACAAAACAAAACAAAAAACAGTATTGGAGAATGTGTTTAAGAAAAGCAAAGTATTTTTCATCACTTGACAGATAAATTAAGCAAATATATTTCAATCAAAGCTGTCTCCGACAAAAACTGCTCGTTTCTATTTTTAAAAGAATTAAAACCATTGTCTGTATGGACTTTGAATGCCGTCTTTAATAACAAATGCAACCAAGAGCGAGGAGTCCAGTCACTGTGCTTCTGCAGAATATGAAGACACTGTAGTGCCGCCGACCAGGCACATGGCGCCACAGGTCCAGTCATGTTACTCAGGCAGAAGTAATAATTATAATACTAAGTTTCCCAGCCTTCAGAAGAGGAAAGAGAAAAGACAGAGAAACTAACCGCTCACTGAGGTAAAATGGAAACTCAGTGAGCGTGAAGCGCCCGGTACCACCACCTGGAGCAACACGCGCGAGTGCGTTACCTGGCAAACCGCTCCTTGTCGTTAGACATCTGGTCATCGTCACACCTGCGGGAGGAGGAAGAGGTTAGTCCCGACACTGTACTGTTACAGCTATTTCGCTTGGCAGTGACAACTGGCAAGGGGCAAAAATATGCAACAAGAAAAAGTCAGCGGCAAAGACACAAAGCACGAGCGGTGACCTGTGTCGCTGTCTCCTTACACCTGCGTGTCAGACACTGCAAAAGAGATGATGATGGGGGAGGGGCCCAACTGACTGCTTCAGCCTCAGTTCACAGACACCTGTTTTCCTTTTCCCTAAAAGTAAAAAAAAAAAAAAAAAAAACTGACACAGATTTACCATCTTGACCACCCTGAGGGAGAGTCTAACAGGGCTAACTATATTCGCCTCCGAACACCATCTTCCACCCCAGACTCCGCCTGCCAAGCATCACCACTTTCTGGCCCTCCGGTGTTGCTCCGTCCAGTCCCTCGTGTCAGTGAGGCCAGACAATGTTATCCCCTCGTGGCTGGTTATGTCACTTAGTCTGTAGGGTCTGTGTGACTCATCAAGGGTGTAGCATGCACAAGAGTCTCCTTCTTCTCAGCTGAGCACTGTCCCTGTGGGTGCACAGACCACAGTTCATCTGCTCATCTGTCAGTGGCTGTCTCGCTGCTTCCAGCTTCTGGCTACTGAGAAATGGGGCAAGGAGCCTGTGTGGTCATGTCTCTTCCCAAGCATCTGCCAATTCCTTTCACTATATTAACAAGATGGGGCTGCCGGATGGCATGGTAAGAATTTTCAACTTTTTGAGGAGCCCCAGTACTATTTTCCTCCCCACCAACGGTATGATTCATCCCCATGTTGTTATTTTTTAGATTTTCGATAGTGGCCATCCCAATGGATATGCGCTACATATCTCATGTATCTCACTGTAGTTTCATTTTGTATTGCTCTTGTGGTTAGTGACACTGATCATTTTTATATACTTTTTGGCCATTTGAACAGAAATATCTATGCAAGTCCTTTGTTCGTTTTTGTAAAATTTACTCATTGATGCACACAGAACTGGGATACAGACCAGAGGTGCAGGGGGTGAGAGGATTCCCCAGAGACAGAGTGGGGGGCAGAAGAGGCAGATGGGCTGAAATACACTGCTGAGGGGAGCAGCGGGCAGGTCAGGAGGGGTCTGCTGCGCCCTGTGGGTCCCTCCCTGGTCGGGGATCAAACTCGTGCTGCTGTGGCTGTGGTAGCTTCACAGTGCTGCGCTTTAACCTGCTGCGCCACCAGGGAGGGCCCATCTTTGTTCATTTTGTAACTGGATTATTTGGTTTTCATTACTGAGTTGTAGAAATTCTTCATATATTCAAGATATTTAAACCCCTAATCAGAAGTATAGTTTGTAAATATTTTCCCCATCCTTTATGTTAACATTCTGTTTCCTTTAACATGCAGAGATATTTTTCAATTATGATTCAAAAAATGCAATTTATCTCTTTAACCATGAAATGTGATTCACTCATCCCAATTTAATTCCCTCAGATCAATTTAAATGATAAGATAATAAATCCAGTTTGCTACTACAAAAACCATAAAGGAGGATGTGCCATGGGAAGAAAAATCTAATTATAAAACACTGTTCTCTCTCTGGATGACCTAAACTTTCCTCTTCTCATTGCCACAGGATATAGCAAAGCTCTGTCAACTCTGGGGCAGCAGTGCTTTGGGTCTCAAGAACTCCTAACAGAAATATTTTCTCCACCATTATGCAACTATTCAGTATTTCTATATGATGGCCAACCACAGTTGTCTTCAAAACTATACAACCTCAGGGTTCAGTAGGTAGAAATACAAATGTTGACGCTTGGCATTACTTCTTCAAAAAAAGTACTGTACTTGTCATTATAAAAGTAAATACAAGTAAATTATGGGTATGTAGAAAAAAACAGATTATGTGTGTGCTTTATCTACACACGTGCACTTAAATATACTTATCAGGCAACAGATATTTCTGGGAAGAAAGAAATAAAAGGACTTTAACTTCACTTACTTAGGCTTTAGTACTGGGGCTCCTCAAAAAATTGAAAGGACTTGCATAGATATTTCTGTTCAAGTCAAGAAATTTGAAACTAGTTGGCCAAAGGGAGGGGTGCTGAGACTTGAAATCAAAACTAAAGTGTATTTTTACTAACTATAACTTTGCCCTACTTAGAAAAGTGCTATAAAATGTACTTTGTAAAGCCTAAGTAAGTGAAGTTAAATCTGACCACTCACATAATAAAATATTTAATGGAGTTCCTATACTGATTTCTCAACTGCATTACTCTGTACTATACATCCTAAGGAACACTTTCAACTTTGGAAATTAAAAAAAAGGCAGATTGCCTCAAGGTTCTCTTCCTTTCTTTGACTCACTGCTTTCCTGCCTCAGAACAAAGCCAAGCAGAGGCCCTCCTTGTGGCACACTGCACTATGAAGCCATCGCAGCCACGGCAGCACGAATTCGATCCCCACCCACAGGGCGCGCCAGGCCCCTGCTGTCTCCCTGCTGCTCCCTCACCAGTGGATTTCAGTCTGTCTGCCTGTTCTGCTCCCCACTCTGTCTCTGGGGAATCCTCTCACCTCCCCTACCACACACGCCTATGTATGGCCTGTACCCCAGTCCTGTAAAGTCTTTAAAAAATAAAACAAAACAAAGCCAAGTAACTGATCTTCAGCTAGGATAAATTTTTGCCTTCTACAGAACAACTCCATCAATTACTGAAATTCATTTTTAGCATTTTTCTAAAAGATTGAAACCTCAGGATACAAATTCCCATTCCTGATCCCTACATATCAACCAATATCAGAAGATACATTCCAGTACACGCTAGCCACTCCCCAACAATTAAACCTCCCAATCATTACTCCCGAGTGAGCCCCCTGCGCCCGCACTGACTCAGGACTTGTACACAAGGGACATGGACCTATGTCAGTAGAAGCAAGGTTCTGGTAAACACTTGCAGACTAGAACTTGCCCTCTGGAATGCAGTCACCGCCACGTAAAGAGATGCAGTCCTGCTTCCTTAAGGCGAAAGGCCAAAAAGGGAGAGAGACCAAGCCATGTCACTGGAGTCCAGTCCCAGCAAACCCGTCAGCTGACCCCATCTTACGAGTGACCCTTGGCTAGATCAGCAGAGGAACAACCCAGTCGACCCACCAAATTGTAAGAAACAATAAGTCACGGTTTCTGGCCACACCGCAATAGGTAACTTGTCACATACACCCTCTGTCCTCCTAGTGCGGAAGTGCCTTCCTCCACAAGGATGCTTGAATTTTTATGGGTGCAACATGATATGTAAATTTAGTTTTAGGATGAAGCACTCTCCTTAAATCTAAGAACAAAAATACCGTAAGTCAGAAATAAAAAGATCACGAACTTTACTTTTTATTATCAGATATCTAAAGTTTTTCAAAATCTTACCTCAAAAATTTACTGTTCCCTTCTCCATCATCATCAAAATCCAACCTGGGGAAAGCCAACAATAAATAGGTGAGCTTGCCGGTAGTACAGAGCACTAAGAAATTACGACTTCTCACTCACACGTTACCTGCACATCCACCCAGCTGGAAGAAGGCAAAGAGGAATGGATTTAAGCGGAGCAAAGCTGCATTACCTTGTCCCTGCATGCCAAACTGAGCAAAGGGACTGGGCGACTGTACAAAGGGGACCCCGGGAGGCAGGCCACCTTCACCAGGGCACATCCTCATGTAGCTTTTACAGAAGAGAGCAGGAATCCATTCAAAATGGAGAAGCAAGACTAATATGCACAATTCAGGTTAACGTTCATTGTCATAGTCTAACTGATAGCGCCACCTTCGTGAAACATCTTTCAAAACAGTGCTTTAAGGCTTTAAAGAAGTCTGTTAAACAACACGACTGTCCTCCAGTCACCTCATAAACATGTAATACTGCCGTATTCAGGAGGAGGGAGCAAGACCTTGCCTCGCGGAAGCCTCTGCCTAGAGGAGCACAAAAATCAATGAGAATGGCAAAGTTCTGCCACAGGCATTTCGAGGAAGGAGAGGCAGGACGCTGACGGAGGTTACTGTAACCAGGCAGACCAGACTCCTGCCAGCCCAGTCCCCATTAGGCCAGGACACTACCGTGCCTCACCTTAGCATCCACGGCACAGACTACCTGACCAACCTGACGTGGTGCCACTAGGTGGGTAGGCTCGGGCCCACCTGCCGTCACTCGCCATCCTCCCTGGAGACCCCATCACTTGCCAAAATCCCACCCAGATAACCAGAAACTCCACTTCTAAGAATTTATTCTAAAGCAGTAAACTGAAAATGAACTAACAAAAGTTAACACAAGCTCGGAGAAAGAAATGGTGGTTGCAAGGGTGAGAGGAGGAGGCAGGGCCAACTTGACCTTGACGGGGCTCGAACTTCGGGCGGCACAGCGAGGCGTGCACACATAGCGACATGTGCACCGTCCTCCCGAAGCTGACAAGGTGCTGGCAACCCACGGCAATAAGAAGAACACATTTTTTTAAAGACCTTAAAAAATTATGTCAAAGATGTTCATTTCAGTACCACAGTAAAATACTCAAAAAATTTAAAAGTCCCAAAATAGGAGTCAGTATGAAATTATGTTTATGCAGAATATACAACAAAGTGAAAGAAAGATTATTATGTATTAGGCGACAAAGCCAGGCTATTTAAAATTATATAATTATATGATTATAATTTTTCAATCTAATACAAAGAATGAAGGAATGACATTAAAAAACAGGTAAGAGTTGACTTTGATAGTAGCACTACTGATGTTTTACCCTTTCTGTCCATGTTTTCCAGTCTTTCTATAAAAAGAGGTGTATAATTCTTCTAGTATATTTTCCTGATCACTAATATACACATCAGAAAATCTAGAATTAAAAAGGAAAAATAAATCTAATGCCATCATCCAGAAATTTGATACAGTCTTTTATTTTTTTTGATATTGCATGTAAGTTAAATATATCCTCTGATAGAGTGTTACATTACATACACTGTGACTCTGGCTATCTCAATATCCTGCGAACATTTTCCTGTGCTGGTAATATACTTGTCACTTCTAAAAACCCTACAGTATAAAAATATATTTAACCAATCCCCTAATGTTGTTATTTATATTATTTCTAATCATTTGCTATTGTATATAAAACCTTAACATTGTGATTTCAGAGAATGGATTTTTTTTTTATTACAAAAGTTTATTTTTACATCATTTTATACATTTTTTTTTCCATCTCAATTGTAATCCCCGCGGGTTTCCCATCACCAAGTCACCCATGTGCCATCACCATAATCCCGTGCATTTCCCTCCCCCACCCCGTTTTTGATCCCATTCCCCACTCCACCCCCACAAAATGTCTCAGAGAATGGATTTTAAAGCTAAATTCTTAAGGTTTATATTCTACATCTTCTGCTTACTAACCTCAGAACTTTGGGTAAATTACTTAGTCATCACATCTCAGTAAATGAGTTAAAAAACACGTCAAGATCCATGGAATCAACCCAAATGCCCAAAAGTGGATGACTGGATTAAAAAGATGTGGTCCAGACCCTCCCTGGTGGCGCAGCAGGTTAAAGCACAGCACAAAGCGGCTTAGGCCACTTCCACATAAGTTCGATTCCCGCCTGCCCCGGAGGAGATCCACATGGCGAGGCAGACCTCTCCTGGCCCGCCCGCTGCTCCCCTCAGCAATGGACTTCGTTGATCTGCCTGTTCTGCTCCCCACTCTGCCTCTGGTGAATCCTCTCACCCTCCGCATCTCTGGCCTGTACCCCAGTTCTGTACGAATAAATAAATAAATCTTTAAAAAAAAAAAAGATATGGTCCATATACACAATGTTATATTTCTCAGCAACCAAAAAAGATAAACTCCTGCCTTTTTGCAGCAACATGGATGGAGCTGGAAGGGATCATGCTTAGTGAAGTAAGCCAGAAAGAAAAGGAAAAATACCAGATGGTTTCACTCATAGCAGGAGTATAAAGGATCAGGGGGAAAACAAATAATAATAATAATGAACAACTATATTCCAGACATTTTGTGGGGGTGGGATGGGGAATGGGATCAAAATTGGGGGGCTGGGAGTGCACGGGACTACAGTGATGGCACAGAGTGATCTGGTGATGGGAAGCCCACGGGGACTACAACTGAGATGGAAAAAGGCGCAAAATGATACAAAACTATTGTAATAATAAAAAAAACCATGTCAAGATCACGGGGATGTAGCGAGTCTTAGTGTTAACCCAGGGATCACTGTGAATTACTATAGTGGGAGGAAACTTAAAAACTAGTTATAATAATTCTAGATATATATTTACTTTTTAAAAAGGGAAATTTAACACCAAAAAGTGAATAAAACATTCTTCCAGCCTTTCTATGACAATCTCCTTTCTGAAGCATTCCCTAGTCCCTACAAACCATCCACTAAAACACACAGCACGGTCTCTGTCCTTCTCAGCAACCGTGACATACTCTGTTGTCATCCTACTTACGGCAAGAATGCAAAGCCAAGAACCGCGCCCGACCAGCACCCAGCACTGACTAGGCGCTGGCTAATACTCGGGGACGGGGCGAACGCTGCATGCCAAACCGAGTACCCTGTCGATACTCAGAGCAGAATATTCTGGTGTTTAGCATTTCCTAAATTCAGAAAAGTAAGAAGCTTACCAAGCAGACTTTGAGAATGCAGACACAAGCTTAGTGAAGCAGCATGCAGTTTTCTCAGCAACAGTGAAATCTTTGGGCTTCGTGATAATGCTTTATCTTGCATTTCTGGTTTTAAAAAATGACTTAAAAGAAGCAAAGAGAGAAACAGCAACTCTATATAAGGAAAATTTCAGGGGATAAATAAAACTATGCGACAGCAGTAGAGGAAGTGACAGCGAAGTGAGAGTGAGGGACAGCCAAGAGGGCAAGCCACAGCGACGCCAGACCGGCTTGCAGGAGCACACAGGGACACCCGAACTCACCCTGGCCTTCGCTTAATAGCCCTCTGGCCCATGGCGCCCCCACCTTGGATTCCAGACCCTGGGTTCCCAGAAGCAATGGCTGAGCCCAGTGATGAAACATCTGATGTCATTTCTGTCAGAGAAAAAGGAAACACACGTTTAGAAAACATGGTCCTTGTTTACCATTATCGAATCGGCTTGAAGAAAGGCTCAAGCTACAGATAAAACGTCAGTCGTTTCCTAGAAAACCAAATGCTCACAGTGGAGCTGCTTGAATCCCCACCGTGGTGAGCGTAAAAACTGAGTTCCTGCCACTCCACTGAGTTTGGAAGAGGGGTACTATGGCTGCACCTTCACTTTCAAAAGCTCAACAAATGACATGTTAAGTTAGCGCACACACATACCAAATTAGTTTACACATTTCACTCAGGAAACAAACATTTATAACTTATCTGCTGATTTTATTTGGAAAATACAGAAAAACCCCAAAATAAAAATCACCTAGATTTCAACATTCAAAAATTCTATAAAGAAACTGGAAACTGATTCTTTCTTTCTACCCCTTCTAGACCTCCCTCTCCTGCAACTCAACTCACCCCTCAATAACCACTGTTAGCAGCTAAGCTCAGATCTTTTTTCTATTACTATGTATATACCTATCTTTCTAACCAGTAACAGGCATATATTTTCTTAATAAAAATGGAATGTGAACCACATTTTTTTTTTTATCATTTAAATGCCAGGCACATCCATACACACCCGCAATCAGAGACATATTTAGCCTCATTCTGTTGTGTGACTCACACTACAAATATACTGCATTTCATTCAACCTTTCTCCAATAGGTGGCCACCTAGGTTTTCTTCTACTTATATTATTACAATTTTTAAGCTATTTTTATTGACTATTAAAGGTAATGCTCCAAGAACATGTCATCTACAACTTCAAGTTCTCTTTTCCTATCTAAATCTTGGAAAGATTCCTAAAAATAGCATTCACCATGTTCAAATATAGAAACACTTATAATTCTGGAGGATGCTAAATTATACTCCAAAAAGACCACCATAATTTATGCTCCCCTACAACATGAGAGTATTTCTCAGATAGCTCAGAACTCAACATTGTACTTTTTAATTTTATCAACTTTATTAGGTAAAGTGGTACCTTATTTGTTTTGATTTGCATTACATTTTTTTGTTTTAGTCACCTGAAATCAGTGAGTCTGACTCCTCACATCTTTAACTTTTTTATGTTGAATGTCTTTTCCTAATAAATTTGTAGAATTTATAAAAGATATAATAAGCCCATTATCATTATGTATTATAAATATTTTCTTACCACCTATAGTGGTAAATATAAATAGACAGACAACATAGTGTATATTTATGTTGCTAAATTTATCAATGTTCTCCAAAACAATTGTTGGGTTTGTAACTCTTCTTAAGAAAGCTTATCACCAAATCATTTTTACATTTTCTCATAATACTTTTGTTTTCCACACTTGGATTTTTAATCCATCTGGAATCTATTATATCCTATGCCAACTTGGCATAAGAGAGGACTAATTATTTTCTTCCAAATGAATAGCTAATTATTTTAATATTGTTTAAGTCACTCTTTCCTCACTGATATAAAATGGCTCTTTATAGTTGAAGTGTCTATGTATAACCTTGTATATATTTATTCTTTGTCATTTCCCTACTCCTATGTCAATACTGAATATTTGATGACAACAGCTTTATAGTACATATCATTAAACAGAAAGCCCCCTCCGTGTTAATTTATTTTATATTTTCTTTTTGCATGTCAACATACTGACTTCTGATTCTGGGACAATGGAGTAGGTGTACTTTTTCTTTCCCCTGTTGTTCCTTCTGAGTACAATTTAAAATGCAGGAAATCAGACATAAAATAAACACAAGAACACTCTGAAGAGTAGAAGTAAGGCGGCTAACAAGTTAAGGACTGCAGGACCCAAAGAGTAACACAAGCTGTGTGCCGGCCTTTCTTCGTGCTTCATATTCTCCAGATGTGGGACTCAAGACCTCACAACCTGGGAACCCCAAGGAGTACAGACAAAGAGCCCCAGACCCTACCAAATGAAAAGGCTGTTGTCTCTATCAAAGAGCCAGGAAAGGGGAGGCCTACTGACACAACATTCCTGAACTGCTCTACTCCACAAACACCTGCTTTCACAGGGCAAGCAAAGGCTGAGTGGGAAAACTAAAACTCCATCCACGTGAGCCATGAAAAAGTACCCCAAGCCCTCCCTTGCAGCTTTCATTTGCAACAGTGAGAAATGCTTAGTTCCCCAGTGTCAGTGGAGCCCACCTGCAGAGGTCTAACCCTCTCCCCAACCTCCACCACAGCAGCAAGAATTCCCACCTCTGGTGTCAACAGAGGTGAATGGAGAGCCTGGAATTCTGTCTCCACCTAGCAGTGACAGGCCAGCACTCCACACTCCCCACTTAAAATGGTGTCAGTAAACGCTAGCGGAAACTGGTTTACTTAGAACCCACAGTCATCTCCTATCATGTAATACAAAATAGCCAGGCTTCAATTTTTAAAATATCACTCATTGTACCAAGAACCAGGAAGCTCTCAAATCAAATGAAATGTAACAACCAACAGATGCCAAAATACGAAATCAAACACAGACGTTAGATTTGACAAGAATTTTAAAACAACCATGATAAACATGTTATAGCAAATGACTAAAATAGTCTCTGGAGAGATCAGTTACAATTGAAGTCCTCTGAACTACAACGGGACCAGGGTGGGTCTAAAACCCAAGGAGAGCTGTCGTCACAAGCGCAAGGAGAGGAGTATTTGCACAGAGGCTGGAATGATGGGTCCACACTATGGAGCACAGGGAGGTTGCTCCCTCAGAGACTCCAGAAGGAGCCAAGTTCGCTGCCATTTTCATTTGAGAGGCCAAGTCTTCCAAGGACAAGGGGATATGTTTCTGTTTTAAGCTTTCCACCTTGTAGTAATTTATTATAGTCAGTCTGGTAAACTAACACAGTAACGATATAAGGTTCTTTCGATTCACACTGGATTTGAGAACTGACATAATAACAAAAGCTGGCATGTAATTATCAATAAATGTTAGCTTACAAGTTAACTCATAATGTTAACAGCTAACTGGTGTTACCCTCTCCAAGGTGCTGTCGTGTGACGGTACACACAGATATGCACTTCCAGTATTGGGTTTTACACTCAACAACATGTGCAGAACTCTCGTCCAATGACTGGGGAGCCCTCAAGCACTGGGTCCCACGGTGAATAGGAAGGTAAAGGTCCTGCCCTCAGGGACTTGAAGTCTAGTTACACTGCTGAAGTCGTAAACCCAATCTGTCCATTTAATTACTATGAGGAAGGAAGATACAAAAAGAAGAAACTGATTTTAAAAGTGAGACAGAGTTTCTAACAAAACCAGCAAGGAGTAGCTTGGAATACAGTAGGAACTTAATGTGTGTTCCTTTCTTCTGTGGAATGACACGGGTTATCTTGACTTCAACCCCAACATTCACTGGTGTCACTCCGTGAAGTCATCAGGGCACGGTAGGCAGCGGCTCTTCAGAGGGATGGTCCTACCAGCAGGACCTGTCGGTGGGCGGGGACGGGCCGAGCAGCAGAAGCCAGTAAGTCTTGCATCCAGAGGGGTCTGTAATGTATTCTTTAACTGTCACATCCACAGAAATCAGCTTAACTACAGCAGACACTGGTGACGGAACATTCACAGTAATATCCTCCTTGTACCTTTAAAGGACTGTACCACCAAGGAATTAACACTTAAAATAAATACGGTAGACAGCAAGAAAAAAAGAGGGCATCTGGTCTCCAAGACAGGGAGGCTACATATTTTACTGGTTTGGGAATGAAATGTCCCTAAGAAGTCATGGCCTAAGTACATTCAAGTAAAAAGGGTTTAGTTTCCTTGAGTGTTGCAATTTAGTTTCTGAAAGCCAGCCACCACTTGGCACTGTGGAAATCCCTATTGTGACTGCCTTAGAAGAAAGTCATCCATAACAGGGAGCCACAAAGGGTTTTCATAAAACATCCATTAACAACACAATATTCTCATCCTGAGTGGACTGAGCAAAGAGATAAAGCAGGAATGCTGAGCTATCTCTACTTCAAAACAAGAAAACTAGAGTTTCAAGAATGCAGAAGCACCTACCCATTAGTCCCTAAGAAAATCTCTAAGATTCAGATTGGTACAAAGACCTAATGGCATTTAAAAAAATGCAGATTAAGATTATTTTTCAAAAATGTTCATTGAAATACAATTAGAAAGTAAACACTCAAAGCAGTTTTCATAAAAGAATATAACTTTTTAAAGTATCTAGCATCTTAATTTTATACTGCATGAATTCCTATCACCCTGTAGCTGAAAAAGTAAACGAAGGTAATAGGTAAGAATTTTGTTAGGTAATACTTTTAAAACTTAACTTAGAAAGACGAAATGATGTGAAAAAAAATATTTTCTGAATGTCAGCCTTAGGACGCAACACGGCCACCGTCCCTCCCGCCTCCCACTGCGTCCTCCACCCGCAGTAGACTGCTCCTAGTCACCGAAAGAGACCCCACGGAGGGAAGGCCAGAATCAGCGGAGGAAAATCTGCGCTCCTGCAGCTCATTTGTCTCTGGCCGCGCCGGGACCGGGGCCTTGATCAATGCAGCGCAGCTCCGCACACACGCAGACAGGGTTCCTCCAAGCGGTCAGCGTTCCACAGGCAAGAAAGATACAGCCTAAGACTTCACAGGCCACCTCAGCCACCCGCTTCTGCCTGCCAATGGTAAGAAGCATTAGTGACAAGGGAAATGAAGAGTCACCAATCCATGCAGGGGCAGAAGCCGTCATCACATCAGAACTCTCACTTCAAAACAACTCAGGGAGCAGAGGATCAGCCAAATCGCATTCTTCCTCTGGCGCGGCACTGGGTTAAGACATAGTGCAGACTGCAAGGAACCAAGTCCCCTCAAAGACAGGCGAGCCACCAACAGTCTCTCTATCATACTCTACATCAATTAACGTGGCCATCAAGCATTGTCATTAACGCTAAGGATTAACTTAAAGATGAAAGAGAAGAGTTAAATTATTACAAAATCCTCCACAGTATGTGGG